CCCCCCCCCCCCCCCAGGGGCCGGGTCTCACCTTGATCTCCGGGAACTGGCTCAGGTAGGTGTCCATGGTGAGCAGAGACTTGTCGGTGATGTTCACGTTGTAGTCCAACCACAGCGTGTCTGTGTCCTGAAACACAAAGGCCAAAGGCCAAAGGTCAAAGGTCAGACCCCCTGCTCCCCCCAGGGGGGGGTCACCCTGCCGGCCCGGGACACCTTTAGTCCACCTTAAAACCTTTATGTGGCAGTTTTAGAGTCATTCCGTGGCCCTTTTGTCTCTATTTTGTGTGTTGTTTTCGTCCTTTTTTTCTCATCAGATCTTTCTTTATTCTCCCTTTTGGTGGCTTTGCATTTCTGCTTCTAATCTTTTGTTTTTGTTTATGTCTTTAATTGTAAATGCAAAGGAAAGCAGCTCATCAGAAGGAAACGCTGAGCCATCCCCTAAAAGAAAGCAGCTAACGTTGTTAGCTAGGTGTTGACACTGAGAGAGCAACAGATGAGGCATCTGTCTGGAGGCATTTATATTAATATTTTCTGGACATTTTCTGGACATTTTCTGTCCATCTTTTCCCTCCTGGAGTCCCAAAACTGGGGACTGCTCTGGTCCCTGTGGTGTCTGAGGGCCGGCAGCTGTGAGAGAGCTCAGCTCTTTACCTCCAGGTTACAGTCCAGCTCCTTCTCTATCATCTCCTTCAGGGTGAGGCATGCAGTTAGAGAGGAAAGGCAGCGTCAGAAACACAGGAACAGCAGAAAGAGGCGTCAGAAACAGAGGAAACACAGCAGCAGAGCTGGAAAGTTGTTAGCTGTTAGCTGCAAGCTGTTAGCTGTCAGCTATTAGCTGTCAACTGTTAGCTTATCAGCCGGTTAGCTGTTAACTGTCAGCTGTCAGCTATCAGCTATTAGCTGTCAGCTATCAGCTGTTAGCTGTAAGCTGTTAGCTGTAAGCTGTTAGCTGTCAGTTGTTAGCTGTTAGCTGCAAGCTGTTAGCTGTCAGCTATTAGCTGTCAACTGTTAGCTTGTCAGCCGGTTAGCTGTTAACTGTCAGCTGTCAGCTATCAGCTATTAGCTGTCAGCTATTAGCTGTCAGCTATTAGCTGTTAGCTGTCAACTGTTAGCTTGTCAGCCGGTTAGCTATTAGTTTGTCAGCCGATGAGTTGTTAGCTGTTAGCTTGTCATCCGGTGAGCTGTTAGCTGTTAGCTTGTCATCCGGTGAGCTGTTAGCTGTCAGCTGTTAGCTATTAGCTGTCAGGTCTTAGCTGTTAACCGTTAGCTGTCAGCTGTTAGCTGTCAAACTGAGCTGTT